CTACGGCTTGGGGCGCGGGCGGGCGGGGCGCCGGCACCCGAGGGGCGGGGCGCGGGCGGGCGGGGGGCCGCGGAGGGCGGTGCTGGCGCGCGGCGCTGACAGCCACATGCCGCCCTGCCTGAAAAGGCTGCGAGGCGCCGGCGTGGAGCGAGAGGAGGTGCAGACGGCGCCCCAGCCCGCACCGCCGTCGCTGCGCCCCGGGGGATGCCGAGGCGCCGACCCCGCGGGTCGCCCTAGGGGACGAGCGCTCCGTCCGCGCCGCCCGCCCCGTGGCCCCGGCCCGGGGGAGCCCGACCCCCGCTGAGCCGCGCCGGAGCCGCTCGCCCATCGTCCGCCCACGCGGGGCTCCGGGGCAGGGAGAGCAATCCGGCGCGCGGCCTCTCGGTGGGGTTTTGCGGTTATTGGCTCCTCGCGAAAGATGGATACGTTTCTTCTGGTGTGGGGATTTCTAGGGCTGAGCTTGCCCGGCTCCGGAGGCGCGGCGGAGACAGGTAAGCGGCCCCCGGGCGTGGGCGGCGCGGTGCGACTCGCGGGGTTCGGGCGGGTAGCGTGCGGGGCGAGCCCGGTGCGCACCGCCTGCGGCCACTCGGCTGTCTTCGCCCTGCGTGGGGATGGAGCCGGGCTGGAAAGTTGAGCGTTGCTTTCTGTGAGAGGAGAACGGGCAGCAGGGAGAACCGCAGCGCGGGCACCGCAACCGGCTGCAGCCTCGGGAAACTTTGGGTGCGCAATGGGAGCTGCAGGCGGGGCACGGGCACGGGCACGGGCACAGAGCTGGCAGCGAGAGAGGCTTAGGGACGCGTGGCCGCGGGCTGCCCGTAGGGCCGGGCGAGTCCGGGGCTGCGCTCGGAGCCTCTCTGAGTGTTCTGCCGGGCCCCGTGCTCCCCTCTCGCTCGGTTCGGTCCGGCCGCTGAGGGCCGCGGGATCTCCGCTGGTGCGGGCGCCGCGGGGGAGGGACGCGCCCCTCCCGGCCCCTCTCGGGGCTCGGGCTGCGTTTAGCGTTGCGGTCGCTGCCCGGCAGGACGGAGTGCCGAGCCGAGCTGGGGATGTCCCATCGCCGGCCGGACCGCGGGACGTGCCCAGGCAGCCCCCGGGGCAAGCGGTCCCTGCCCACGGCGCGACTCGGACAGCGCTGGGTAGCGAGGGGCGGCCGTCACGGGTCGTTCCCTGCGTGCCCCCTGCCCCGATCTGCGTGGAAGGGGAAGTGGGAGAGGCGCTGCGGGCTGATAAAGTCCCTATTTTGCAGCAGCTGCGAGGCGCGGATGTTCCCGGCGCGCACACGGCGTGCGTTTAGTTGCTCACTGGCATCGCCTCTTTTCTTACGGTTATAAAGGAATGAGACAAAAATTGCATCTTTTGTTCAGATAGGAAAATAAACGAATAAGCGCTTGACGGGGTAAAGAGAGGACAGAGTCGTGGGACCCCCGTGGGTGGAGCGGCCCTTCCTGCGGTCCCCGTGTCGGAGCCGCTGCCCTCCCTCCCGTAGCGCCGCTGTGCCGGGCTGCAACCTGAGGCTTGTGCCTGGGTACGCGCTGCCAGCTCCGGGGAGCTCCTTGCGGCCCCTCGGAGCCCGGCCGCCTCTTCCCGCCCTCCAGTGGGCTCGGGATCAGCACTGCTTTTCGGAAAGGGATTGACGAGCCGGCCGTGGGGCTGAGGTTGCTCGGCTGCCGAAAGGAATGTTTATTTGAACGCGGGGTTTTCCCGGCTAAGTGGAGCATCACATGGTGCTGGAGGCGGCGAGGAAGTTGTCTCCCTGCGGCTGACACCGGCGGCTGTGCCGAGACGCTGTCGCGGTGCCTCAGCTGCTCAGATGGCTCAGTCGCGAGCCCGGTGAGCAAAGGTATGGGGTAGAGAGGCGCGAGCCCCAGTCGGGCTGAGTGAGACGGGCACGTCGGCAGATGAAGCTGCCACGCCAATGAGTCGTGTCACGCAGGTGTATTGCAGCGCTGCGCACGTAGGGAATAGCTCCGCCCAATATGTGCACCTTGGCTCACGTGCAGGTTACATTTATTGGTTATGTTCACCTAGACTCATATTTTTCCCTGGAATTTCATGCATGTATTAAATATTTTCTCAAACTCATGAACGTTTTCTTAGAACTGATGAACATAAGGCCCTCCCCTTAGAGCATGCGCAGTCACTCTTGGGGGTGTTTTCCGTGGTCGTCTGGGGGTTGAGAGGGGAAGGCTGATAGTCTCCATTGCTCCTAAACCTTTGACCCCTGTCTTCAAGAGTGTGCTCAGCTAGGTGTTTGCCTCCTCCCTAAGTGTGGTTTCTCTGGTATGTCTGATAGGGCCCATCCATCTTCAGTTTGATTTCATTTCCCATCCTTATCTTTAAGGTAGTACATATGGTTCCTCCAGATACTGATGCTTGCAGTATTTGAGGTCCTCACTCCATCAGAGCACAACCCCGGTCAGTGAACAGCCTGGTAAGAACGCGTGCCTGAGACAGATGGATTTATGTTTCAGTCTGGTGTATCTGAAAGCCTGTCTCCATTACAAAAGTCCCTCTTAAGGTTCCCTAAGGGAGGTTAATAGAGGGGGGAGATGATTTTAATAGACAATAATATGATAATCCACATGGCAAAAACCCTGGTGCAATATTTCTACAGTAAGAGATAAACAGTGCAGCTGCCAATTTGTATGTAGCCAAGCAAACCCGGAGATAACCGTGGAGGGGAGCGGGTGGGAGACCCTGCAGATAAATCGGAATGCTGGATGCTGTGTTTTTCATCTTCCTGTAAAATGCAATCAAGTAGGAAAGTAACAGGTTTGAGTGACCCAAGTGCTGAGCCGTTCAGACAATATTTATGCTGCTCTGAGCAAATCTCGCTCTCGAAGCCTTCCAAATAGTTTGCTTAAAAGCCAGTATTTTTCATAATGACTTGAGAGATGCGGTGAGGTAGGGAGGGGAGCACAACAAATAGCTGCCAGGCAGGCGCAGTGCCGCGCACGTATGAGCAGCACACACACCCACGCGGTGCTTGGTGTAACGCCGTGTGCCCGCTGTGCCGTTTGCTCGGCTCTTACGGGGAACAAAAGCTTTTTTAGCCCAGGAGGCAGACAGTTGTCAGGAGCTTCACGGTGAGCGACTGATAGGAGCTTGGTGGGGGCTCTGCCCCGGGTGAGGATACTGGGTTTTGTCTCCCTAACTTCCCTGTCTCTGCACATCTCCGTGCACGGTGCCTGGAGCTGCAGATGGGCATGTGGGTCCCAGTGCTCTGTGGGAACGCTCCCCATCTCCCTGCTCTCACCCCCCAACACTTACCCTGCACTTGGTACCTCCGTGGCCCCAATTAAAGCACGTCAGGCTGTGCTGGGTGCTAGGCAGCACTGTCCATCCCAGCGGAATGCTGCTGTGGGCAGTTGGTGTCCAACAGAAAGTGCCAGTGTCACTGGGCTCCGGGATGTGGTGGCCTTGTGGCACAGATAGCCTGAGAGGAGAGAGCATCCTTCATGGGTTTAGGATGCTGTCAGGTTCAGATAAGGCTGGGAGCCTATCCTGTGGGACCCCTGCTTGTATTAATAGGGAAAAATTAATTTTTAAGCACTGGGATTGCTGCCAAATTATATGACCTCTGACAGACCAGCTGCGCTAGGAAAATAAATTGTCTGTATTTGAGACCCATGGTCCTATCTGAAATCGAAATTGAAGAAGTCGGCAGTTAGCCATGGCAGCGGGGCAGACTGCAGCAGCCTTACAGCAAGCTGGAAGCTGCTAAAGTTGCTTTCCATTGTGCGGTGAAGTCACCAGCACTGTCCCCACGGGGGCTCAGGAATACAGTTGTCTGATCCGGGAAGCACGGGAAGCTGCTGGGCTGACCACGTCGGCGTGGAGGTGGGGGCAGGAGCGGGTGTGAATGTCTCTGGCTCTACCCTAGCTCTGGAACAGCCTTTTGGCTTGTCTCTAATTATAATGCACACACAGACAAAGAGGTAGCTGGGCTATTTTCGAAATCCCTGTCTACACCCTGGTGGAAACCGCAATACTAGCAACAACATAAATCAGGGCTGTTGCTAGCAGTGTTGCACACGGCGTCGCGCTACAGTAGCATGGTTTTAATCATACTTGGAATCAAAGGGTCAGCTTCTCTCTGCCTGAGCCAAATTGCAGTCTCGGAAGGCTGGATCCAAAGCCAGGCCCCATGCCTGCACAGCGAGGAGGCGCGAGCACAGAGAGGGGAGGTTTGTCGGGACGATGTCGGCAGGCACAGTGCCAAGCACTCAAAAATCACAGCTTGGATCTGCAAGGCTTTCCATGTGCCAGCCGTGCCCTTAGATGGCATGGCAGGGAAGCTAGGGTAGCACAGTAGCAAGAGCCCCATCCACAGCACAGCTTCTTCCCATACAGCTGGGAATAGGGCTACAAGCTGAGCAGGAAAGCAGGAGTTGGCAAGTAGAATAGCCAGAGGTATTGCTAACAGCAATGGATGGCTGCAGAGACTTTGTCTGAATGCTTCTCACCCTGCCTTCATACATGAAGAAAATTGGGCCCCAGAGGTGGAGTGCTGAGCTCTGGGTCTTTGAAACTTTCCCCGATTCCTCACCATGTATGTGAAACAAGGGCAAAACATCTCTCCCAGCTGTCCTCGTGAGTCACCCCAGCGTGGGGCTCAAATGCCTGCCCTTCTGCATCTGCCACCCTGAAAGATGGTGAAGCCAAGGGACACTGTCTTTTCCTGCCGCATGTTTTCTGAAAGATGCAGTTCTTAGGGGATGCCTTTCGGGTTGGGGAAGGAGGAAGAAAGCTGCTGACTTACTTGTACATGTAGATGCAAATGCACGCCCGTACCATCTCCCTGGCTTCTCCTCTCTTTGCTAGCACCCAGGTCTGATCCTTTTCTCTTCAGTTTCCAAAGCCTTACTGCCTGCCCCACACACTCCTGCATCCCATCCTTCCCTCGTGCTCTCCCTTGCATGCTCAGGCTCTCTCCGCAACTTTTTCCCTCATACACACCCTAGACTCGCTTCACTTTCCTCTCTGCCTGTCCACTGAATATGTGCTCAGCAGGAAACAATGTGCTTAAGATGCTCGCCAGAATGTGTAATAATGTTGGTGCTAGCAGCAAGGCTCAGCAGTGGCTGGATTTGAGCAAGTTGTCGTAAAGGCTGAAGCTGCTGCTCAGCAGCACGTGCATGGGGGGAGCTGCAGCAGGGCCTCTCCCAGCTGGCTCTGAGGGAGCTGTTTCCCTCCCTGTCACATCCCATCCCAGGCCTAGGGCTGTGCGCCCGCTGCTGACACGCTGGGTTTTGCTGTGCACCATGAGGTGGGGTGTTTGGGCTTAGGGGTATGGAGGATTCAGAGAGGCTCTGCCAGCTGCCTTAGGGAGAGGCAGAAGTAAACTGGTGGGGGAAGTTGGGATTTGAGGTTTTATAAAGAGCAGATCCTGACAGATGGGCTCCGAAGGTGTGAGGGATCTGGAAGATCACAGGGGGCTGTGCGAGATGAGATGTGCTTTTGGTTTCTTCTTGGAATTGTCATAATAACAATA